AACACCCACACGGGAGTCAACTCTGGGGACAAGTGAGTGTTTGACTCAACTTATATCGATATTATTTTTAAACATTTTATTAAATATCGCTGATATAAAAGTAAAATCTGTCTGCACATTAGTGGTAAGTCACCCTCTTCCCTTTTCAGTACAACCTAAAATAGTTGTCTTAACAGAATTCAGAATTCCCATGACATTACAACCCAAGTTGTAGGTAATCCTCAGACTCTTAGTTCCCACAGTTAAAATCTTGGTGAATCCTGATATCAAAATTCTACATCTTTAATATCAAATGTAAATCATATACACCCTTCCTCTAAAAAACACATTCTTATGAGCTCCTAATACTGACAAATTGCTTCCATTAGACTGCTATTTAAACATAAGCCCACACATAAAACAATTAGAATATCAAAACAAAATTCCAAATTAGAAGTAAAACTACTAAGCCAAAAGAGTTTGAGCTAACAAGATTAATGTAAGAATTTGGGTCTCAGTTAAAAACAGCTGGCTTAGATGGGTCAAGGACACCACAAGAAAACTGTCAACAGAATCAACTAACCAGGGCCAATAGGGCTCACTGAGACTAGAGTGACTACCTAGGAGCCTGGATGGGTCTGACCTAGGTCTCTCTCTCTCTCTCTCTCTCTCTCTCTCTCTCTCTCTCTCACACACACACACACACACACACACACACTATAACTATGTAGTTTGGTGTTGTTGTGGGACTCCTAACCATGAGAGCAGGGGGCTGTCTCTAACTCATTGCCTACTTCTGGAACCCTTTTCCTCCTACTGGGTCACCTCATCCAGCCTTGATATGAAGGTCTGTGCCTAATCTTATTATAACTTGATATGCCATGTTTTATTGACATCTCTGGGAGGCCTGCCCTTTTCTAAAGGGAACAGAAAAAAAGTAGATCTGGGGGAAAGAGGAGGGGAGGGTAGAGAGGGGGTGAAGAGAGGGGAGGGTAAACTGTGAATAGGATGTAATATATGAGAGAATAAATTAAAAAAAGGAAAAAGATAGCTGACTTCCTTGTTAGGGTCAGCCAATGAAAGGTGCTGGACCTTTGGAGAACTAGAGAAGGGAAGAAGTCAAAGTATGCTTCCCCTTTTCCTGCTTTTGACCAAGTGAAGTAGCTCCTCTCTCTAGAGCTGGAAGCTTCTCTCTCTCTCTCTCTCTCTCTCTCTCTCTCTCTCTCTCTCTCTCTCTCCCAGTCCCACTGATCAAGTGTCTCTTCCACCTGCTGGTCCCTACGACTGCTTATTAAATAATCATTCTTAGGCTTAATATTAATTATAATTATTTGTCCAGTAGTTCAGGTTCATTATTAAATAGCTCTTACAACTTAAATTAATCCATTTCTAATAACTGTGTATTGCCATGTGCCCCACAGCTTACCAGTAATGCTCTGGCATCTTACTCCTCTGGCGAATGCTGGTGTCTCCCAGACTTTGCCTTCTTTTTTCCTGTATCTTGGCTTGGATTTCCCACCTGGCTCTATTTTGCCTAGCTATTGGTCAAATCTGCTTCTCTATTAACCAATGGTAACAAGCGATGTTCACAGAGGGACATTCCACATAATCCCTCTCCATTCCAAGCACCTGCTGATGCTCCCACTTCTTTGTATTCATGCACCTAATGGCCCAGTTTCCCGACTATGGTAAGCTTCCTGCTCTCTCCACCCCTGCTGGCAATGGCCTGTGGTACCACTAAACCCTGGATTGTCTTCTCACCCCTTGTTTGGTATTATATCTTTTTAAAAATTTTCCTTTTATTTCACCAACATGCTAAAACAAAAAAAAAAGCTTTTATTAAAATACCTGGTGCAACCTCCTCCTTCCTGACTGTTTAGTAGATAACATGCATCATATATAAAGACTGAGAAAATGTGGAAAGTAACCAGTCTGGAACAAACATAATTCTTTCCTCGCTCACTTACTTTTATGGCAGTCATCTATTGTTCTCCAGATTTCCCTCTTTTGTGCATAAATTAAACCAAGAGGATGAATTCCACTCAAAGTTATATCATGACTGCTGTGTCTAGAAGTCATCTCTGTCCCCCAAATTTCCTGTGCCTCAACTGGTTGGCGTTTATTCACCAAAGCGAATATGCCAAAATGATGAATGAACTTTATGGCAGACACAGTGTTGGGGGTGGTTGAACAACCTAGATATCTTGTCTCCACCAATCCCAAAGCAATCAACTTAAAAGACCCAGACGATCATTTCCTTTGAAAAATGAGTGGGTGGATCGACAAATTCTGGTTTCCCTTCCTGGAGTTCCCCTAACATTATGTGATTCATCAGCATTTCCTTTTGGAGTTGCTTCACCGGGAAGGCGAGAGCATGAAAGAGAGGAGGGAGGAACTTAAAACAGAAGCTGTCTCTCCACCAGATCAGGAGCAAAGAAAACAATCTCCAAGAGGATGACCAATTGCTACCTTCCAAACACCAAAATCCCTGCTTTCTCAAATATAGTCTTTACTGTGCAAGCAGCAACTACAGCTTTTGCTGGTTTTCAAGAATGTGAATATTCAAAAGACTGGAAATGCATGGTTTCTTGTAGGGAAAGAGGAAAAAAAAGATGATTGATGTTTAAAGTTTAAGTTAAAATCCAACAGGACATCCTTTACTGATCTTCAAACCACCAAGACATGAGAGGCTGTCGGAAAAGGGCCTTGGCCAGCTGTTGTTTGTGGTACTGGAGAGGGAGTCTAGGGTTCAGGAAGGCAAGGCAAACATTCTCTCCTTGAGCTATAGCTTAAACTTTTTATTTTGAGATGGTCTCACTAACTTGCCTAGACTGGCCTTGAACTCACTCTACAGCCCAGGCAGCCCATGAATTTGCAATCCCTCCGCCTCAGACTCCTGATTGCAAGCCTGTCTATAATGCCCAGCAAATGTAATTTATGGAAAAGATATGGTATTTCAAGGCCTTCGACAAATTAGCTAATTTCAAGAAGAGAGAGAGAGAGAACGAGAAAGAGAGAGGGAGAGAGATGGGAAGATTCCATCAGGCTCAACCAAAGGGGAAAATGATCTGAAATGAGCAAACTGGGGCCCAGACTATGTAGTTTAAGTCATGCATCTTCATCCTGGTTCTGCAGCCAAAGAAAGCCACCCACTCAGGATCCACTCAGGATCACGCAGCAGTTAACCAGCAAAGTCGAAGCATTTCTGCAGACCCCTCGCTCACCGTCTTCTCTCTTAATCTATAACTTCTTCTCTCTTTATTGTCTATTGCCTTTTTCTACCCACCTAACCCAGAAGCTCAGGACATTTTAGGGGTGTCTTATGAATCACAGAGACTCATGCTTCCTCCTAGGGGATGGCCCTTTCCTGCCCTCCTGTGCTCTTCTGACAGGAGACACCTCCGTGTTCCCAGCTGCAGGTCCTGTCTGTCTCACTGGAGAGTCCTTTTGTCATTGCAAAGTGTGGGCTGCCTGTCTTTTAAAAGGAAGATTCCACTTATTTATTTAGTATATGGAAAATCAATTATGGTGTAATTTTCACTGTGGAAATGCTCTCACACAATATTTTAGCTGGTTTCTAAGTTTTATTTTCAAAAAGCTTCCCATCGGCAGAAGTAAAGAGTTCTGCAGATTTCGTCCAATTGTGAGTCTTTACCATTTTGTAATTATGAAGCTCTGAAAATGTAAGGACAGCTATCAAAACCATCTGCAGAAGAAAATATGTACAATGATGCACATGCTGGTGTATATACGAAAGCCATACAAAAAAATGCATATGGTATTATTTCCTGGTCAGGAGGTAAGAGCTAAGATTCCTGGATTAGATCTCCTTTACTTAACAAAAAAGAAACCAAGTGTCTAAGAGTACAGAGTTCATTAGCAGGAAGAGATATCACTGGAACACAGGTCTGCCTTCTAGGCCCAGAGGTCCAGTCTATGATGACCAGGGTGACCCAGAACACATTTAAATGAAAATGTAGGTTATTAGTAATTAAACTGAGATACCAGATATAGACTGGAGCCTTTTCGGGGCAAACCTGGACTACGGTCATTCCAGTTATACAAAGAACAGAAAGACTCTTGAGGCTTCCATGTCTTTGTAGCACAAGACCAGAACTTCCCAAGGAAAAATAAACTGTGAGCCTGCAAGGTGGCCTCTGAATCTTTATCCAGAAGCAGCTTTAGAAAAAGAAAAACACGCCAAGCTTCCAGTCCCTTGTCTGAAGGCTCATTAAATGCAGATTGTGTATCTTATGAGTAGGACACACAAAGGAAATTATTATTACACTCTGCAGCAACAAGACCTAGGTTCGCTTCAGTCTTCCCAAGGGGTGTCTCAATCAATTTTGGGTTTTATCAGCAGCACAATAGTGAAGATCAGAACTTTCTCTTTGCTTCTGCTTCTAATGTCAGTTTTACTCCTGAGGTTTGAGCATCTCAGGCTGACTATGCAGAGAAAGGATAGGTAAAATTGATTTCATTGCCAAGAATCTCCCGGAAGGGCAAAATCATTCATATCAGTCTCGACTTTTAGATACCATTGCTAGCAGTACACGTTCCAGAAGACGACAAATTCCCTTTATTTCCTTTTGTCAAACTGGGCCACCCTCAAGTCCTTTTTTTCCTCAGGGAACAAGCACCTGTGCCTGCTCAACTCCTTATTCTTAGAATGCTAATATTGGGGCTTTAAAAGAGAGTCTGCCTCTCAGCTTAGTGAGTTTCTAACTATCCCAGCACAGTCTCCAGTTCTGAATTATAGCACAACTATAGTCTGTAGCTGGGTGCCCCGGACCAATGGCTCTCATTGGCCATGACCAACGGCTAGTGGCTATGGCCAATGGCTCTCATTGTCTATGACTAATGGCTCTCATTGGCTATTAAAACAAGAGAAAATTTTCAAGATCTCCTTTGTTTGGATTCTACTTCTTAAGATGCTGATTGCTAGGTTGGGAGTTGGACCCATGAACAGACTTTTCCAAGCCCTCCCGAGTTCTAATTTGTAGCCAAAGTTAAGGACTAACCTTAAAGAAAAAGGAGAGAGGACAGCACAGGCAATGCTTCCTGGTGTCTTCTTTTTCACCTCGAGACTCAGGAACGGCACTGGGAGTTGACATTGACTTAAAACAGAGATGAGCTAGTAGAGAAAGAAAGACAGTTAATGAACGGTTTGGTAGCCTAGAAGGCTAGCTAGTAGGCATACCCTATGCACAACTCTCTTGAGTCAACCCAGCAGTATCTGAGGCAGGCATACAAGGCAAATACCCTTGGCACTTTTCCCTTGGTGCTACAGGCACAAAACCCACATCAGATTCTTCATTTTCTAAGTCAACACACACATGGCTCACTCTATGCTTTCGGGTTGGAAGAAAATTCAGTTTCAGTTAGCCTCTTCCCACCATGCTTCCCTACTTCTCCCTGTGTTATTACCTCAGCCAAGGCAAGCAGCCTAGGCCTCCAGGACGGTACAGATGACCAGGAAAGATCTTTTCTCCACCCTGCTCCCCACACAATCACGAGCACCTAAGACCCACACCCAACAGTTCCAGGCACATTCTTCACCGCTGTCTTGGAATCTCCTAAAACAGTATGAAGTCGTCATTGTCCATGAATAATAAACACTTGACCCCCAAAGTCTGCAATCCCCTCTCCTTCCCTTCCCCACTCTCACCCCCACCCAATCTGGAGAGATTCAGCTTGACACCTTCTACCAAACCCTCTTAAAGTTGAACTCGTTAAATGTCATTTTGAGTTGATACCATGAACTATCCATCCATCCACACAAGGGCAACTCCAGCTGAGAAAATCTAGATGCTAGGAAGAAAACTTTGCAATGTGCTTCTAGCTGCATCCAGAAACACAGATTCCAAATGACAGACACTGGGGCATGCTTGCCTCTTGAAAGGTCTTCAACTGGGGAGGAGACGGAGAAAGAGGGGAAAGAAGAAGAGGAGGAGGAGGGGTTCTTTGCGCAGTCTCCCTGTGGGCTGGATCATCACACAAGGGTCCCATGTTTAGTCATTAGCTTCCCAGGTATCTTGGTTTGGGGAGGGGAAAAGCAACTATGGTTGTAGAAAGATATACTAAAGACTAAGATGGGAACAATCTGCTCACTTAGAATGCTCCCTTCCTTGTAAGTTCTTTTTTTCATTAGTTGCACGAAAATTTTTTCCAAATTATTTTTATTTAGTGATGTTATGGAAGGAGGATCTATACACATGAGGAGAGAAGAAGAAGAGGAGGAACACATCCAGAAGAAGAGGAACTCCCCACCTCCAGAGCTGAAGTTGGAGATGGCTCTGAGCCTCTCAATGAGGTGCTGGGGCCTGACCTCAGATCCTCTGCAAGAACAGTAGGTTCTCTTGATCAGTGAACCACCTCTGTCCACCCAGCTGCATGAAAATGCAATTCACAAATTCACCTGAAAAATCTGGCCTCTTCCAGGGATTCTACTAATCTAGTTCTTTCTCTGGGAAAACCAAGTGAAGCAGCTTTGTCGGGACTTTGCACAGTCAATCACCTGGTTGCCGGAAGCCAGCCTCCTGCCCTCCTCGCTGTCCGTAGAATGGCTGCCCACAGAATCACGAAAGGCCTTGTCACTTTAGGATATCTGAGCAGGTCAAGGGCAGCTCTGGCATGCAGCAACAATTCAGTGCCAGAAAATAGCAGATCTGCTCTCTCCAGCAGAAACATTAGATGCCCGGACACGCGGAGGGCAGAAACCAAGAGGATCCTGGACTCTTCACGTGACTGCTCAATGGAATAGAGATTCCGTGACATCATCCAGCAAGTGCCCGGCATGTGGCAAGCGCTTCATACTGCACATAGCGTGCTCACTACCGCAAACGGGCCCAGGACCTCAGGTCTAAAAATACCCTGAGAGTAACAGTTTGTGGCGATTATGCCAATAGAAAATGACTCCAAATAAAATATTTACCCACAAGTTGGGCCTTGGGCTCTCTGTGTTATATAGGTTGGGGTTTTCACCTAATGGAAAAGAGTTTTTTTCCTGTAAGCAACATTTGACTAGCTGGGCAAAGAATGTTCTATGCAGAACCAAAACTACTGAGATCCATTTGTAGAGAACCGCTTAAGCCTCGCAGGACTGTGGTCCCTAGGTCTGGTCCAGCCCCACTCCTGACGGACCCATTCCGCTCTACCCTATCTGACTCTTCCTCTCTGACCTCACTTCAGTAAACAATGTGATTTCCTAACCAGATCCACTCCGAGCAAATCATAGGCATTGATCATCCAACATTATTTTAAACAAGTCCATTTGGAAACTACAGGGTGTACAGGGTGTGTGTGTGTGTGTGTGTGTGTGTGTGTGTTTCAAACTGAGAGATAAGGAAAAACCCGTTCTGCTTCTGTGTTGTGACAAGTAATTAGACACCTAGAGGAGGAAAGAATGCCTCCACTACCACCAGACATTTTATTACATACTTGTTGACTCTTGTGCTACCTCCTTTAGACTTTCTAATGTATTTTTCCCGTATGCCCATGAACTCAGTGAGAACTCACCCTGCCAACTTGAAGATGAGAAAAATAAAAAGCTTTAGTACTTGGAGAGCTGGACACAGAGAAGTGCCAAATCCAAGCTCAGTGTCTGTTCCTTTGTTCTGTTTTGTCCCCATTTCTCCTTCATATGATGGCATAAAATATCATTAGTATATGCACTGACTATTTCTATCAGAAAAAACTATATTTATTTCATCTACTGGAGTCCTTCAAAACAAAAGCAAGTCCCTCATCTCTATACGTCCAACGATGGACCACAGAGGGGCTGTATTATTCTGATGGGAGAGGAGGGAGCGGAGAAGCTGGGATTAGGCGATGGAGATGGTACATAGAAAGGAAGGCAACATTGCAAGAGAAAACAAATACTTAGAAAAGGTATGTTTCTGTTTCCTCTGAATTTGCCTCATTCTTTTCATCAAGTATTTGTCCCTAGACTGTCCTGTTTCAATGTCATAGATAGGATATGTTCATTCAGCTATGTGGACACTCTTTCTAGTGACAGGACAGAGACAGGTATTATAAAAACATAACTCCTTTAAACAAAGAAAGTGACAAAAAAGAACCTTGAAAATCAGTTGCCCTTGCTCTAATTATGAGACAATAGCAAAAGTATGGAGCTTGTGTCTATAGTAAAGGGGAAATTTGACCAAATGAAGCACCTCACCATAATATTCATGATCAGATCATTTGCGTTAGCTGGTAATCAAAGGATGGCTTGGCTGTGTTCCTGCTTTAGAATCTCCCATAGGTCAATCATTGTCAACCAGAGGTGGGACAAGTCCAGTGAGATGGGTCTGTCTTCTCATCTATAAAGCTGACCTATAACATCTCCATAGTTAGGTCAGGGCACTGAAAGAAGCCATCACTTCCTTAAGAATGTTCTACTAAAAGCTACTTCTTCCGAATGTGAGTAAGTGAGGAAGGGGTTCCACCTTTCACCAGGTGTGAGAAGTAGTGGGTTATATAGAGCAAAACTAATCTTCCTATATCTTCTTAGAGTCAAAAACGAGGTACGTGGCATTCTGGGTCTGCAAAACGATGATGAGTAGGCAGTGTTAGCCAAGCATATTTGGCCACAGTGCTTTCCCAAGAGAATTCCAAATGATTTGTGTTAAATAATGAACCAGACAACTTCAGTACAAATGCCCATCCATGGAGCCTGGCAAATCACTCCCTTGTCATCGTATGTGTTGATGCTGAATCCTATTATAACACAGAAGCCATGGCAGTTGGTCACGTCGGTACAGACAAGACCTAAATCACAGCTATCATAGCCTTGGCTAACAGGATAAATCTCCTGCTACAAGATGTGCCAACCCAAGTAATAAATGTTAGATTTACCATACCGTGTTTGAGAGACTAGGTTTTTCAGACTATCAGGTTGGTGGTTTCATTCTTGTAGAAAGGTAACAGGAAAAAATTTAAAAAAAAATACAGATCCCAGGATCTTTCATTGAGGAAAAAGTCACTAAAGTGTCATGCTGAAGGCAGACCTTTGCCAAAAAAAATCCTTTCAGATTTTTCTCTGAATTTTGGGTTGACCTAGATGCAATTCTCATACAAGGATTCAATGTGGAGTCTTCTGTTTTTGCTTTGTTTGTCCATTTGCTTAGTTTTTGTTTTGATTTTTTGAGACAGGGTTTTCCTGGGTAGGACTGGCTGTCCTAGAACTAGTTCTGTGGATCAGGCTGGCACAGAGGTCTGCCCAACAACTAGGACTGGGCGTGTGCCACCACTGCCTAGCTTCAGCATGTGTTTGACACATGGATCCAGCCCTGAGAAAGACCAGGGAGGCATCTGGCAAGATATGTAGCTCTAAGGATGAGCATGTTTTCTTCATTGAGGGTTCCCCCAGTTGTAAGTTCCTCCTTTGCTCAATGTTCTTTACTTAAAATCCAGACTCCGGGGATAAACTCTAAGGATATGCCGGCTGCGCTGGAGGGAACCAAGGTACATGCTGGTCTAGGGAGGCTGGAAAGAACAAGAATAGCATCTGAACAGCACAGTCGGGGCTGGTACTCATTCCTAGCCCTTTCCTGAGGAATGGCTCCAACTCACTGACGGGAGTCTCAGGGATTAGGTCTTTACTAGGTGGTGTGAACCAGAGTTAATGCATTCAGTACTACATGTCTGTAAATACAGCCAGGATCCTCAGCTTGGCTCTCCAGGGACCATGGACATCTTCATTAAGAAAACCAGTCAAAAAAACATCTTGAAGTGAGCTACAGAATGTCTAAAGAGAGGTCTAGATACTCCTGAAATTAAGCTTCCCTACTGTAATCCTCCTGCAGCTGTAAGCTAGCGTCTTCCCTGCAAAGAAATGCTTTCACCTGGACAATTCCGCTTTTCCTGCCGAAATGACCAAAGTCTGAGCAAAGTGAAATTCAGTCCAGAGCAGAAGAAGTCCAAGGTGACAGGACAACCATGCAGCTGGGTCACAGGTCAGAGCAGAAGGCCAGTTGCCAGAATAGAAACAGGATGTAGAGGAGTCCATCAGTCAATGCAGGACCTGAAGGGCCAGACTCCGCTTCCCCACAACGGCCAGGTCTGGTCTGGCCTCAGACTCCTGAGACTGTAGGCAGGAGCCCAGGACAAGCAGTCAGGGCTCCAAACACAAGAATCCAGTGTTTCCGATGCCATCTCCCAGGCTTCTTTTCCGTGATGACACAGTGCTGAGGTCCTGGTCAACATGTCTGCCAAACAGAGTGGGTAGCAGAGAGGAAGGAAGTCTCGGGAAAAGGGTCACTGTTTGTGCCCTGCTCCCTGGGTCTACTGGGAGTGGTGTGTGGAGGTGGAAAATCGAGAGGGCTGCATTTGTTTGTTTATTTCCTCATGGTAACTCACAAGAAACATAGCCAAATGTAGTTAAAAATTGAGTGCCTGAAAGCCTTGCTAACATTCTGACTCAGAAATGTTGCTAAATATGTGGGTCAGATGTAGGCGGAGACAGGCAAAGCCCTAAGTCCACCGAATGGGTCCTCAAGCTGCTTCCCCTCTGCCTTCCACACAGAAAGAACTCCCAGTGCCACTGAGATGAGTTTATTTGCTTTTTCTTAAATGGCACAGAAGGAAACCCAGTATCGCCTTCCTGATGGCTCCTAAGCTCAAAGGATTGGAGACACTTGACCAAAATTTGTGACTAATTTCTCTCTGCCTCTCCTATGCCTATGACAGGAATAACAAGGGTTTCCCAAAACTAAAGATAATGTTGCCAGTGGGCTGAGACAAAGGATCAGCAAAGCAGATGCAGATAGAACAGAGCTGACCTCGGCTTCTGACGGTTGCTGGCTTTCGGTGTGTATTTCGCAGCGAGGCAGGTCTCTTAGCAGCTGGCAATGAAAAATTTGATTAGTCTTCAATAAATATTGGGCCAAGAATTTGGTTGATCAACACACCCAATTCTATTTTCCTTTGCGCTTTTAACAAACTAGTTGGGGAAGGGAGAGGGGCTGTGCCAACTATAAGATCAAGGGAATTCACACTGGATCACACCACCGAGCCCAGGGTAAAGCTCAATACGCTTGCCACGTGGAGCTAGGAGATGCCTGAGAAGGTGAAGTGCCTGCTGTGCAGGCGTGAGGACCCGAGTTGGATCCTCAGCACACACAGAAAAAAGCCCAAATTGGCAGCTCATACACCTGTAACTCCAGCACTTGCACGCAGAGTCAGGCAGAGCCTTGAAGTTCATTCGTCAGCCAGCCTGGCCAAATGACGGGCTCCGGACCCAGCGAAAGACCCTGACTCCAAAAATAAAAGTGAATTGAGGACACACAACCAACACTGATGTCTGACCTACACATGTGTATACACACACACACGCACACACACACTCACATTTACACACATACCACACACACACACACACACACACACACACACATGCACATACTCACACTTTTTTTAAAAGGAAAAAATATGTCACCAGACTTCAAAAAAGAAATAAAAACTTCCCACTTATTCTTTAAAAAAAAAAAAGATTGGGGCAGTGGGTGGCACTCACCTTTAATTCTATCACTTGGGAGGCAGAGGCAGACAGATCTCTGAGTTTGAGGCCGAGCTGGCCTACAGAGATAGTTCCTGGACAGTCAAGGCTATTGCACAGTGAAACCCTGTCAAAAAAAAAAAAAAACAATACAAAACAAAAACCGAAAAACAGCAACCAATACAAACAAAAATGTTTATTTATATATTTTCTGTATATGGGTGCTTTGTCTGCATGCACAACTGCAAAGAGGGCATTGGATCTCATTACAGATGGTTATCAGCTGCCGTGGGTGCTGGGAACTGAACTCTGGACTCCTGAAGAGCAGCTGGTGCTCTTAGCCACTGAGCCATCTCCCCAGCTCCTCTTTTTTTTTTTTTTTAATGTGCTAGGAGCTAGACTCAGTGGCACACGCCTGTTGTCCCCTACTATGGAGGCTGAGGCTAGGGAGACATGTGAGCCCAGAAATCCAAGGTCTACTTGGGCAGTGCAGCAAGATCCATCTCTAAATCCATCCACTCATCTCCCCAGCAATCGATAGCTATACTTGATGAACTTGTGAATTACCAGAGGAAACAAGAAAGAAAAAATAAATAACAACCCACCTCTCCAGCCCACGTCTCAGTGATGCTTTATTCTGAGGGAAGAGCAGGGACAGAGACACCACTAAGCTACTATACCTTCCAAGCTCCGGGGAGGGTGTGTCTATGACCTTGACACAAGAACACTGCACTCAAGGCCCGTAGAGCAGTCACTGGCACACAGCAAACACTGCACGGGCATCTGTTATGGGGGCAACATCACCATTTGTTCATTTATTTATTTATTTATTTATTTATTTATTTATTTATTTATCTATCTATCTATCTATTTATCTATTTATTTATTTAATGTGTGCGTGTTCTATCTGCATGTACAACTTTATGTCAGAGGAGGGCATCCAATCCCACTATAGATAGCTGTGAGCCACCATGTGGTTGCTGGGAATAGAACTCAGGACCTCTGGGAGAACAGCCAGTGCCTTTTAACTGCTGAGCCATCTCTCCAGGCCCTGTATTTGTCTTTAATAGAGAATCGCTGCTACTTTCTCTCCCCCGGGTTCTCCTCCCTCTCCAGAGATTTAACACCTACAGCAGTCTATTCCAAATGCTTCTCCTTATTGAGCCTTGGTCAAGGGGTCTCTTCTCTCTTTAATGCGCAAGCCTTGTTCCTGTGTATAGGTTCGCCTTAGCTGCTGTTCCTCAGGCACTATTCACCTTGAGGGAGGGGTTTTATTCGTTTGTTTGCTTGCTTGCTTGTTTGTTTGTTTGTTTTGAGACAGAGTCTCTCACTTGACTCCATATTTCACAAGCAGACTAAGCTGACTGGCGAGTGAAGCCTCTGCCTCCTCGACACTGGAATCCCACACAGCACCACACACTCGGCTTTGACTACGTAGGTTCTGCAGGGTTTGAACATGGGTCCTCTGCAATGGAAGCTCTTTATCAGCAGAGCCAGTGCTTCAGCCAAAGACTTTCTTCACATGGTTCTCGGGTGGGGGACTTGCAGATTAAGTGACTCCCAATTATTAATACTCGAAAAGAAAAACGTGCTGTCAGGCCTCATCCCTTTTTGGATCCCACCCATCTGCTGCTTGGATCGTGCTGACAAAACCCTCCATTTCACTTTTCACTTTGTAGATTTCATTCATTCAGTAATTTCCCTGCCGATCCATTGGTCTTCAAGCCCACTTGTCAACCTTCTGCCTTGTAGACTCAGGAACACACCTGGGTAGAAAGGGAAGGTAAATGCTGACTATCCTCTGGCAGACAAGAAAATGATTTGTTCCTTAACGGTTTTCTGCTTTAAGGCCATTTCCAGGAATGCCATAGAGCAAAAAAGGAGACAGCGGCCAATGTGCAGTCAAAACGTTTTTGTTCTTTGCTGATTCATAGGACCACTGGTCGCTGCTACTGGAGAGGTCCTATCCCTATTCAGCATGGTCTGGTCTCAATAACGACCAGCTAATTGCAAACGTCAGTCAGCAGAACGACTCCCAACACCACGCAAAGCCAGACACACAGGTGTTCTGCAGTACTGCTCAGCCCAGACTCTCCAGCCTAACTCATTCCCCATAAGTCCAGGTTTCCCCAGCCCGTAAACATAAATAAGAAAGGTCATTTTTTTCTATTATTTATGGCAACTCAAGACTCCATTTATCAAGCAAGCTGGGCCTCAGCCTCCTTCCCTGGGAATTCTCCAAGGTGGTGGTGTTTTATGTACTTTTCCTGAGTCAGTTGATCTCTGCTGCCTCAGGTTTGGGCCATCAATCTCTACTCTGTCCGCAGGCCACTTAGGCCAACCGCCAGTTAGCCTTGACTCCGTTAGCTACTGCTGACCCACTTCTGGCAAACGCTGTTATTTCCACGCTGTTGTTGGTCAGAGAAGAAAGGAAGAGAGGAAGGCGCCCTTCCCTTAGGTATGCAAGAGATGCTGCCTTACACAGTACAACTCAGGCCCTCGCCACTGACAAGTCTTGAGACCAAAGAAAGCCTTGCTATTCCGAATGGGGTCTGTCCACCAGCACTGCCGAGAGCCTGACAGTAATTCGGTATCTCAGGTCTCATCCCTGTCCTCCTGAAACATAACCAGAATGACGATAAGACTCTTAGGTCATAGTTATGGATATTGAAATTCAAGAAACATACATTTCAACATAGAAGAACTTCCCTCTGCACAACAGACATCCACCATTGTCTTGCTGGGCCCATTCGCTGCCTTTCCCCGTCTCGTGTTCTGTTCGAGGTGCCGATTTCTGTTGAGCTACACCAGCAACGCTTCCTTTGCCAATCAAGAAAGAAGAAACAAATGAATTCCCGATGATGGAAGAGACTTTGTACTTCATCAAAGAATTAACTAAAGAGGTTTTTGTTCTCTCTCTCTCTTTCTGTGTGTGTGTGTGTGCTGAAATTCTGTCCATATCATAGTCACTTGTGATTTACTAAACTTCTTTTGACAAGCATAAATTGCAATACTTTTCAGAATGGGAAGCAAGAGAAATAGATGACAAACAGTATTACCAACGCCAAGTCATCTGAAATAACTACCTGTTTTCCCACAGATGAAGAAGTCTATACTGAGAAGCCCACATTCCTCATGAAGTGGTTAGTTGAGACAATGAAACCCGTAGAGTACATAGTGGAGTCAGTGAGCTGCTGGGCACTGCCTGATCCTTCCCAGGAATGATATTCTAATAAGCGGTTTGTTTTCATCCTTCAGCTTGACGCTAAGTCTAATGGTCATGCTCAGTCCATCTGAAATTACTTACTCCAGCTGGTCTAGGCGAAAGAAATATATTAGAGTTTTGAATGATGAACACCACCTCTCAGGCAGTGAGTTGGCCCATCCATGCGGTCTATAAGCCAAAAAACCCTTCCTCTTCTTAGCAATGTAATCATTTAGGAGATCCCCCAGAGATCTTACTCAGATGAGCCCAGAAAGAAGGGCTGGAGAAGAGTGAGTCTGTCCTTGGCAACATAGGGTGGGTCAGCTGACGCTATGTGTCTCCTGGGCTTCTGCAGCTCTGGACCACCTCCTGTGATTTTAGATTGCATCATTTTTTCCCTAACATCAAGAGTGGCCTTGTCAACCCTATGAGAAGCTCTCTGAAGATGCTGAAAGGTTAAAAGAAAGAAAGACAGTAGCTCTGCTCAACGTATTCAAAAACTAGGTTTGTGTTTTTTATATTTTAAAATGAACTCTGTTTCTCATGGAAAGGAAATTGATAAAGCTAAGCACTAATATAGACAGAAAAATCCACAATGTTAGTGAGACGCTAAATTATTTATGAGAGTCTAGGTGTGGGTCTTACAATGCATACAAGAAAAACATGTTTTTAATGGAGTAATTTAGTGATTATGAAAATATTCCAACCTACCAGTCACAAGAAGACCAAAGAACAAAAGAAACTACAAAAGAAAGAAGATAAGGAGGAGGAGGAGGAGGAGGAGGAAAAAGAGCAGAAGGGAGACAAAGAAGAGGAAGAGAAGGAGGAGGAAGAAGAAGAAGAGAAAGAAGAAGAAGAGAAGGAGGAGGAGGATGAAGCCACCACAGTCACTGTCGTGCTTCCAGTGACTGCCAGTGCCCTTTCTCCTCCTTAGGGAACCTACCTGGGTCACCTGCTTCACATGCTCTTGTAAGAAACACTATTCCCTTGGCTCCACCTCCTTGAGACTTACCTCTAATCTGCCCAGTCCACCACCCCATCTCATGTTTATGTGGCCTACAGACACATAGAGAAAAACATCACCAACAACCTAACCGCAGGTTCACAGGTCCCATGCCAAAAACATAAGTAATGGAAAAAACAAAACAATATTCCCCTGTTCCGAAACATCCGTCCATGAAGAACAACTTAGACAAATTTCAAGACAAAGGACACGAAAGGAAAGTTATAAACACGTTCAAAGAAGTCAAAGCTGGTGTGAATAGACAGCTGAGGGAACTTAGAGAGGTCAGGAATGAACTGGTAGACATCCAAGAAGACACAACTAACTAATGAAAGTAAAGAATAAAAAGACAGGATATAGAAAAGGATATAAGAGAGAATTCTGTGAAAAGAACGAACTACCAGAGAAAACCTGCATTCAAACGAAGCTGATTCCGAGTGGTCGAATAGAAAGTGCAGTGGAAAGAAAACCTCAGCAAGGAACAGTTCCTAAGAAAGGTAGAACTTCAGGGCCTGAAGACAAACAGGAGGGAGTGGATTATTTAATCAAAGAAAATGGTATTTTTTTAAATACAAGAGCAGGACAAGCAAGATTATTGGAATGCTGTGTAAACACCAAATCTACAAATTTCAAGCTTGGATAAAAGAAAAAGAATTCTAAGGGTGAAAGAAAGCATAAAAAAATACTCAATAAGATTATAGAAGAAAATTTCCCAAATCATGAGAAAAAAATGTCCACATAGGTATAAGAGGCCTACAGAATACCAAACAGACAAGGCCAGAAAATAAATTCTGCATGACACGTTATGGTTAAAAGACTAAATATACGAAACAAAGAAGGGTATTAAAAGCTTCAAGAAAGGAGCACAAAAATCATATAAAGGCAGGTCATCTTAATGACAGCTGAGACAAACTTTTAAAGTCAGAAAGACTTGGGACAATGTATTCTGAGATCTGAAAGTGCCCAACAACCCACTCAGAATCCTACACCTAGCAAAGCTATCTTTCACAAGTGAAGAATAAGTAAATGACTTTCAAAATAATAAAAATAAACTAAAGGAATTAATGGCCACTAAGCCAACTCTATAGGATAATGCATTGAATGGAAGAGAAACATAAATGCATCCAAGATGCTACAATGAAATAACAAACAGTACTAGAAGAATTAGTCAGGAGATGCCTAAGAAAATACGACATCAGCAAAGTGACCAGAATTTCATGCACATCTTTCAACAGTAACTTTGAGTGTTAAAGCTTTCAAATGCCTAACAAAAAGACACAGACTAGCAGATTGGACTAGAAAGCAAGAAACATCGATTTGTTGCCTCCGAGAAACACATCTGATCATCAGAGATGGACTCCACTTTGGGGTAAAAGAATGGAAAAAGGTATTCCAGAAAAATCACAGTAAGAAGCAAGCAGGAATAGCAATTCTCATATTTGACTAATAGAGTCCAAATCTAAACTAGTCAGAATAGTTAAAGGTCAATTCATATTCTTTAAAAGGACAATCTACAAGAGGATACTAAAATTTTAAGTATACATACACTGAACGCAGGTAAACTAATAGTACAAATACCACTAGATGTAAAGTCACAGATTAACTCCAGCACAGTGGTAGTGGGAGACTTTAGCACCCCTCTTTCACTGCTAGACTGGTCACCCAACAAAGAGTAAAGATGTAAGCCGAAAGGTCCTAACAGATATCTACAGAACACTACACCCAAACACTAAAGAACATACATATTTCTTAGCAGCTCATGGAACTGTCTCTAAAATAGCTCATACATTAAGATATAAAACTAAAAATAATAATAAATTTAAAAAGTAAATGTGCTAGAGATTATTTGTATAATATATAAAAAACACAATATTAAGTATTTTTCTAAGAAGACAGATATGACCATGGAAATAAAATACAGTGAACTTAGGGCAGAGTTCCTCAAATCTCTCTAGAGTACAATTCCTTAAGCTTAATTAAGAAAACAAAAAGAAGATAAAGGAAGATTCAAGTCCTCCTGAAACTTTGAACTAGCATCTAACTGAAGAACTGTTTACAGAGCATTGAAATAATTATAGTTGTGTTGAATTGGGCAAAGAGGAGGGAAATATGAGCCGTACTGCAAAGGGGAACACAAGAAAGTAAGGTAGGACAGATGGGACACGCTTAGCCCTGGTGGTTAGACTGGATAAAGCTTTGGGAGAGAGTGAGGATGGCTTAATCAGGCAGAAATCAGCGGGAGTGAGGATTCAGAGCCGGGTGTATGGCTCAGTGGTACAGCATCTGATAGTATGTATAAAGCCTTGGGTTCAGGTCAAATCGCCTTCTAAATAACTACATTTGTGTCAGTATATTAGTGTTTTTTTCTCAGTTTGGATCACAGAAGCATTTTGCTATCAGCTTCGATAGCTGCAGAGACTCATAACTGGTTCAAAAGCAGAAAATAAGATATTGCTGAGTGTTCAGTCATAAACGGGACATCTATACCCACCCCAAGACTCCAGGAACGTCACTGAAGAGGGAGAAGAAAGAACGTGCGAGCTGGAGAAAGGATGGAGTGTTGTTGAATGCTTCCTTCCGGGAACAGCATGAGCACTGTACTCTGGATCTCACAGCCGCTGTGAACACCTGTGAAGGTGCACACAAGGTTTGACCCAATAACATCTGTCTTGGAGGAAGAGGGGGCTCAAGAAACCACACCCTTCCCTGCGGATCTAGAAGCAATGCAGTTAACGGAAGCTGAGGAAAGGAGATAAATGTTTCTGCTCCTATAAATAACCCTTCACCCAGGCTCCTATGCACAACCAAAACGAAACTGACTTGGTCACCAAAAAAGACCCAACAGAAAGTGTAAGGAGGAAAAGCTGAAGAAAAGACAGGAGGGGTCAACAGAAATGGGTAGGGAAGAAGACAGGGAGCAGGGGTGTATATGGTCAAAATACATTACACACATGTACGAGAGTGGCGTGATGAAACACATTATTATATATAACTAGTTTATGTTTGTAAAAACAAAAACAGTGAACATAAAATACATTTTTTAAACACAAAAATAATGGTGAAAATAATAATGAAGTCCTGGGTTCGATATCAAGCATCAGAAAAGGAGGGGGAGAAGGAGCCAAGGGGGAGATTTCAACACAGTCAAGGAAAGGCATTCCGGTTTGGATTTAAGCCCTTGTGTCCCTCTTCTAGTGAAGACCCAACATCAGAGACACTTGACCTGATCCAGAGGGGCCCAAGGACACAAACATAACTAAAGTCTAGACTATTTCTTACTAGTTGTAACTTATACAGCTTTAGCAATTTTAAAAGGCTGCTAAAGTTATTTATCTTCCTTCCTCCCTACTTATAACTCAATCAGGAAAAACCCTATAATTTAAAAATTAATAAACGAATGCTTTTGAAAAGCTCTTAACCTGAGCCAGGGGATAGCTCAGTAAAATGTTTGTTGTCCAAGTATGAGGACCTGAGTGTGATCCCAGAACCACTCTGGAAGCCAGATGTGGTGTGGAAGAGGCGGAGACAAGAGGGCGGTGGATACCTGGGACTCAGTGGCCAGATCTCTCAGCCGCCCTGGTGAATGCCTGGACAGTGAGAGCACCCTCCTTAGGAAAAGAAGGTGAGGGCTTGGGATACAGCCAAGCAGTAGAGTGTTTGCCCAGCGTATGTGAGAATATAAATTCGATTCTCAACACTACAGGCAAAAACAGAAGGGTGGAGCCAGCAGTTAGTCGGTGAGTTAAGACTCCTGCTGCCCAAGCCTACCACTAGAGTGTGATCCCCAGACCCCATGTGGTAGAAGAGATTCCTGCAGCTCGTCCCCTGGCCTCCACATGTTCACTGTGGCAAGCACGCCTACCTCTGCACACACAACACACAGAAGTAACTAAACAAAGAGATGGAAACATTTTAAGGGTGAACAGAGCCTGAGGAATAAGACATGAAGATGTCCACTGTCTTCCATAAGCACGCATGTACACACACACACACTCACACACGCACGTGCACACACACGCACGTGCACACACAAAGTCTCAACCGATTTCTTAGCCACTGCTTCCTTCCCAGCACCTAATATAGTAAATTATATGAGTCTTGTAAGCCACGCACAATCTCACGGAGGTCCATACATAGCACAACCTGGACCAACACCCACGGAAACTGCTGAGACACTGGGGTATAGTTCCTCTGCTTTGTGGAAACCACTTGGTGCCATTGCAACCCACCTGATACATCATCTGACAACGGCAAAGAGAAATATGGGGCTGTCAGTATGGAAAGCTGAACCAAAGGGGAACTCTAGGAGAAACACAAGGGAGATAAAAATAAACTTTATGGTGGACTCAGTTTTAGCCCTTACAGCACATGCTGGGGAGCCTGGGAGTGGAGGCAGGAAAGAAGCAATCCTGCCGCTTCAGAATGACTGATTTTGTTAATAGGGAGATTATAAAGAATTTTCTAGAACTGAGGAGATGGCAGAGTTGGTGAAGTGATTGCTAAGCAAGTATGAGGAGCCAAACTTTCTCCCTGAACACGCAGACACGTAAAATGCAGGGTGTGGCTGCATGCACTTGTAATTCCCATGCGGGAAGACAGAGACAGGAGGATGCTTGGGACTTGCTGGCCAGTCAGCATTGCTGAAGTCCCAAGCCCCACTGAGCGACCCTGTCTCCAAAACACCATGGGACAGCTGAGGGATGACACTCAGGGTAGCCTCTAGAGAGAGAGAAAGAGAGACAGAAAGAGAGAGAGAGAGAAAGAGAGAGAGAGAGAGAGAGAGAAACAGCAACAGCACTCTCTCTTATACCTAAATAAACATAACCTCATTCAACCTTCACATTACCTAGTGGATCTGTTTTCCCTTCTCAGATCCTCTCACGTCCCTCCTCCTTCTTGCTGCGGCATTTGACATAACCAAGTGAGGCTCTGGTCACAGGACTTTCCTCTGCATTGACTGGGGATAGCATGGATGGATTCACACGGATCTTGTCCCAGACACAGAGGTGCGCTGCACCCTGTCCTACTGTGTGTCGGATCTTGCATGATTGGTTCTGATCTGCACTCCTGCAGTTAGTTTCAGAATCCAGAGTTGAGATGACCATCTCCAGCGAGCCTGACCTCAGTTCGGATGATGCGAGGCCTAAGTCAGGAATCCCTGGGACAATTCTCACCGACTTGTGTTGTGAACAGAAGCAGTCTACAGAACTCGCGAAAGCAATATAATTATGATTGATATTCCATCATAAAGGATATTGATTAGAACCAATCAAACAGGAAGGTACATAAAAAGAGGTCCGGGGGTTGTTTCCCAGAGATCTTTACATTGCCCCCAGGGAATCGGGTGTGTCAACCCTCCCAGGAACCCAGCGTGTTCACCCTGGAAGCATCCAGAGCTTCAGTGGTCAGAGTTTACACGGGGCGGTTAGTGCGAAGACATGAATAATGGAATTGAACTCAACCTGCCAGCGTTCCTCTTCCGTCCCCAGAGGTTGAGAAGGTGGGGTGATATGTGACTCAAAACCCCACCCTCTCATCACACGTACAGTATTGGTATGGCCTCCCTCGGTTCTGAGTCATCTCATTACTGATCAGGGTCCTTTATGAATAACAAATATTCCTATCCCTCGGGAAATTCCAAGGGTTTAGTAGCTCTCTCTCTGTAGATGTGGACAAAGACCAGACAAATTCTTTGACTTAGAGATTCCTTCCCTGAACCAGGGAGAAAGACCAGAAACATTCTTTAGGATACATAGGCATGCTCCGCTACTGAGGCCGGGTCCATGGCTTCCTGGTCTAGACCTTCAGCAGGCCAGGCCCCCGGTTCCCACAGCACTTCTGCACCAACCGAGGATATAAAATTCACGGTTGCTCTTCTGAAGCGATTTTGCTAGTCCCAAGACTTCCCACGGCTCCCTTCAAGAACTTCCCTCAATTTTAAATGAAAATGGGTAAACAAAAAGAATGCAGACAGTAAGAAGTAGCTAAGTATAAAATGCTAATGCTTAAAGTATCTTCAAAGGATAAAGGAGACTATTTAAAGCAAACAGTAGGCTGGGTTTTATATGGAGAAGGAACGTGTATAAAATCAATAGCAAAAGACTTAGAAATACAGAAAAGGACAGCATACTGTTGTGATTTTCTTACATAAGGGGTAGAGCAGCATTTCAAATAGGCCACAGTGAGCTAAGGATACATGCTATCAATCATAGGGAAGTTATTATTATAGGCTCTGACAGGCCAAGCAAAGATTCTCAGGATGGGGGTGGGGAATCTTTGTTCAAGCTGCTAACAAAACATCATAAAATAGATCCTTACAGACAGCAGAAATTTTTTCCTTGCAGGTCTAAGACTGGTGGGTAAGCATGGCTGAGTTCTGGTGAGGGTTACTTGTTGCTGTCCTTTTGCTAGATTCCAACGGGGTGGAAAGAGAAGGAGGGGTCTTTCTGGGGTCTTTCTATAAGTCCTGGGGCTGCTGAGATGGCTCAGCAGTTAAGAGCATAGCCTGATCTTACAGAGGACCTGGGTTCCATTCCTAGCACCCACATGGCAGCTCAGTCTGTCTGTAACTCGAGTTTCGGAGGATCTAGCTCCATCTCTGGCCTCTGAAGGCACCAGGTGAGCAAGAGAACAGACATACCATACAGAGAAAGTACCCATATACATAAATTTAAAATTTTCAAAAAGAACACTGGCTCCAGTTATGAGGATTCCGTCCTCTTCACTTAATACAATCAAGGATACAGGTTCAGGTGGGTATATTTGAACTTATGCAAGAGACCAAGAGCAAAATGTAGTCAGTGGAGACATAAGACCCAATAGACCCTCATACCATAACAGCGCATGGAGAAAAGCAGCCAGGTTTCGATACCAACCAAAGCATCCACTAATGAGCTGACACTATCATGGTGCCTGTCTTTCCCAGCCTCAAAGCCTGAGCACGATTCTCGCTTGAGAGGTCCCAGCCTACCCGGACTCTACTGCACAATCGAGAAGTTGCTTGAGCCGACACAACCTTAGTTTATGTTTCGAGAATTCATCTGTTGGTTTTAGTTTGGCTTCGAAGCACACACATTCCCACAGACACTGTATTATACATTATGGCTACATCCTCAAAACTGCCCACAAAAGGCCCTTTAAGTTATTATGTTTGAAATATGTACTAAAATAGTTCCATATCCACTATGCTAACCCATCACTTACAAGTTCATGTAGAGAGGGGGCCATTCCATTTTGCAACTGGAGATGTCAGGATTGCCTGGGAGAGGAGGGAGTTGAGGGTAAGAGGCAAAGATGCCTGGGAATTCTCCACAATCCGGGTGTCAGGAGCACCCAAGGTGGACATCTGTTGTCTATCACTCGCTCCATCTGGAAACAATATTTTGATTCCACATTGGGGAACTAACAACCTCCTCCCTTCTCGGTGTGTGTGGTTGGAAGGACGGAACCTGACCTCAGACCTACACTCCAGGGTGGTGCATGACAGGGGCAGGGCTGGCTACAGTGACTGGCTCAGGCACGGCCCTGCCCTGCCTTTCCAGTTAGAGTCCAGACCACATGTAGGCACGTAACAGGCCCGAAAGAGACTTATCCCCAAGACAATCCGGCACTGTGCTGGAAACCTAAGACATGGCTGTGCCCAAATGAAGAAGGAGATGATGCACATTGG